GCTCTTCAGTGAAGACCTGCTCTGGCTTCCTTTGAAGTCAACAAGAAAACGCCCCCAGCTTCCCGTGGGATTAGGCTCACACCTGATTTTGCCATATTTATGTCCAGTTTGGGGTGGGATATGGCAAGAARGAGAGAAYTGTAATTAATGRGRTTGGTGCRAGRGYCTTGGATGCAATGAGGAATGAAGGYRAAGAAGTGAAGTTATTTCTCWCACMAATTCCWTTATTCATRGRAACACGAGCACAGAAARTGRTGCCACYTTGATGRCCAACCTGTTGATGTTCTWCAAGCCCTCTCTGCTGTCCACARCTCCACCCCTCTGAAGAACATCTGAAGTGTAACCTAGGAGAAATCTGTTGTAATTTGCTCTCCTGCTCTCTGTATTTATAAGCCTACAATATTGTAAGTTTTTGCTGTGGGTGGACAAGCAACATCYACTCATATCAAAGAAGATACAAGTACAGATAAATATAACTTTATACATTCATTTTTATATAACTTATGCAAATGTATGCGCAAGTTAGTCACAGTCCCCAGGCTGGCAGCAGATCTGATGTGGCCATTGTAGCTTGTTTTGGACTGCTGGACAATCCTGGTGCCTCCAAGTAGAGATTTACATGTAAGTTYGTCTSCTAGAACAAGGATTGGMWGGATGGAGATGGATGGATGGGACACAGAGGGGCACAGTTGTGGCATTTCTTCATTTCTCCAGCTGAGGTGGGGCTTAGGAAAGCTGAGTGTGGGGGCTTCCAGAGATTTTTTCTCTTGAGGGTATTAGCAAGAAGGGTTAAAGTCTGATAACTSTGGGATGAGGAGCTGGCCTTGTGCATGGACTGCAGCCCTCTCTGGCATTCATAAACTCACTGAATGGTTTGGGTCAAAGATCATGTCATTCYACCCTCTGCCATGGGCAGGGACATCTTCCTCTAGACCAAATTGCTCAGAGCCYCATCCAACCATCTCCTTGCTCARCCTCATCTCYCCATCAGCCRCCTCCTGTGACAGCAAGATTRTTRTTYTCCAYCTTCTAAATTATAAAAAGATCAWCTTTTACCCCATCACATCACTGGTTACTCCAGAAATGAATAGTTTTTTCTTTCGTTTTCTTTAGTTTTCTTTAGCACTCTCTGTCGAGTACTAACTGACCATCTTAAAAACCAAATCAAAGCCTAGAGACAGAACAGCTTATTGTTCTTTTCTGTGTGAACTTATCTGCTCCCCAAAGACTAAACAGAACAAAAGGGACAGTTTTGGTATGCCGGGTTCAATTGTCCAAATTAGTATTCTTAATGTTCTTCCTTATTTTAAACACCCATGAATAACTTGGTCCCTACTGCTTAGATTATAGATTTTAGTGTATGAATTTTAATAATTCTAATTAATGGTGCTATCTTTATTATATTACTTTGTACTTGGGTTCACTCTTTCATCACAAGATCTCAAAGCACTCTATTAAGCTGCACCAAATCTTTGTAAAGGAGATGAATTTTAGCCTATTGAGTTTATGTATCGGATAAGTGTAGTAAAGGGAATGAACAGTTTTTCCAAAGTTCATTTCAGAGCTTTGCATTGATTCTCTGCAATATTTAAACACTGGGAAAATTAGGCTCCAGAAAACCTGACTCCCACTTCTACCCGCTAAATTATGGATCTCTTTGCTCCCCATTTTGAATTTCAAGTAATCTTTGAAAAATTTGTATTCRTGAGTCTTCAAATATGAATAGTGGTAATTATATCAATATTATTAATATGCACTATTAAAAGAAGTAAATCTACATTTGCAAAGCTTTGATGTGCTTACAAAAACTGAACTTTTAAATGAAAGTGTGTTTTTAAATCACGTATGTATTACAGAAATCTGTTCAGACAGTCTCACAAAGATCTGCATATGCTCAGAGCAATGATTCAYGTGCTCCTGCAGCAGTGCCCTGGGATATCTGATGGAACAGACCTGCTCAGCACCTCACAGGTGGTTTCTCAAACCAGTTTTGTTCTGTTTCCTCCTATTTCTTAATTATGGTAATTTWAAAAAAAAAAATCTGTTTGCTATGATACATATAAAAATTTGTGTGTGGTTTTTATGGTGTTGTAGTTGTGTGCCGTGAGAATTGCCACCTGGAGGATCTGTCTGCTAAATCCACACCAGATCTCTGAGGTGGGCTCTTATYTCTGATAATCTCACCTTTCAACCTTTCAAATCCACCAGTTATTGTAGACAGTGTAGTATTTAAAAGTTACTCAGGTCTTCCTTTTCCCCCTGCTTTCCACCAAGGTGAGAGCTGATCATTTACCACATGCTTTTCCTTCTTCTAAAGGATTTTCATATTTCAGACTTGTTAAATAGTCCAAACTACTACATCATTACTCTTTTGGACATTTTAAGACTCTTACTTAGCTGGTTTAAAAAGAATAAAATTGTGACCTTTGGTTGACATTCTAAGCTTGTGTTTTGAAGGCTGTGCYTGTATTTTGAGGTTGCTGCTTAGGAAAATCAAG